GACTCGCTGGAGCCAGGCGCCGGCCTGGCCCCCCTGCCCGCCTGGAGAGCCCAGGTGTGGCCGCGGCGGGGGTGGGGATGGTGCTTTCCTGCCCGCTCGCGCGGCCCTTCCTGACGCACCCGGGCAGGATGCAGCTTCCTCCCGCTCCCTCCTCCGCGACCCGGCCAGGAATCATGGAGAGAATTCCTAACGGGGGCGGGGCGGGGAGACAAGGGAAGAGCTTTGCGAGACACCGCCAAGTCTTGCCCCTTTTTTGGGGTGGACTCAACTTCCCCATTTGTGCAGTTGAACTCTGACCTCCTGGATCTCATAGGCTCTTGTCTCTCAGGGACCCCAGCCAAGACTGTGGGAAGCAGAGGCATCTTAACTACCTTGTCATAGCTCTTGTCGTGGTATTATCCCATTTCTATCCACTTCAACTCTGTGTCCTTGACCAGAATGTCAGCTCAGGGCTGGGAGACATTGACCTACTGTGTGCCCTTCCCTGTCCCCAGCGACTTGCCCGATGCTTAACTCACATCTGGTACTGAGGCCTGATGGAGGGTCTGAAGGCTTTCCCGTCAAAAGTTGAATCTGCCCTAGGAGGGCGGTTCTTACCCATTTCACAGCTGAGGACACATGAGGACAGTGGGCAGATCATCTCCAGTTACACTGCAGAAGCCAGCCGTGCTCCCTCAGACTTGGAGGTTGCAGACCCCCACTTCTTCCGCCCCCAGGAAAGGGAACCAGGAATTCAGTACCCTGACTCATGTCAAATGGCACCATGGTGAACATGGTCTTGTAAACCAGTCACCCAGGGCTCAAATGTTTCTCTGCCTCAGCTTCCTTATCTGTAAACATGATGGTAGGTATCTTCTACGGTTGCTATAAGGATAAATTATTTTTAAAATAGTAGTATAATTCTAGCAACATGTTAAATTGTTAAACACAATAAAAGGGTGTATTGGGGCTCTCAGCAGGGCTGGTTTTGCCCTTGGAGGCCCTCCCACTAATTGCAGTCAAGGGAGACTGAGGCACAGAGAAGGACACCTAACAAAACAGGGGCAGAACTCGCGGATTTCAGAGCAGTTTCCCAAGAACCCACCCCCACCCCAGGGTGAGGCTGGCACCAGGCCCACCAGGGGCCCTGCCCAGCAACCCATCCCCACCTCCCCAGTGTGCAGACCCAATCCGTGCCCAGCCTGGTGCCATTTTTCCATGGGACTCTGGCAGTGGCAGTTCACATCTGGAGTCTAGACTCGGAGGCTCTGCGGGCCGGGCCTACCGCCCGGGCTGGGCCACCACTGCCTGCTGTTTGCTCAGCTGAAGCTGGTTAATTGGAATTAGAGTGGCCTCTGCGGTGCCGGCTGGCCGGGCGGGCCCTGGTTGGCCGCTGCCGAGGTCTGTGGAACATCTGGCTGGGCCAGGACGGTCATTAGATGGCAGGCGCCCGGCGCCACTGCCACCTCGGCCTCCGCCGGGGGCCGTGGGTGACTCAATAAGGCCTTTGTGGACCCTGGGCTGCAAAGCTAACCGCGCTGTGTGCCTGGGCCGCCTGCCCCAGCTGCCGCCCTCAGAGGGGCCTTGTTCCAGGACCACACGGCCTTCTCCTGCCGAAGGAGACTGGAATCGGCAGGGATCCGAGAAGTCCCTGAAAGGGACCCCCCTGGCTGGTAGAAGCCTTTGAGGTTTCCTACCCTTTCTTTCCTTTCCATAGAGTCCTGGGCCCAGATGAGTTGGGTGGCTGGATCAGAGGCGCCCAGCACTCCAGCCACATTGACTGGGTCTCAGGGGTCTGGAAAAGAGCTGCACAGTCCTTAGGAACTTGGAACTTGATTTGGATTGCTTGAGGTCAAACCGATGTCCATGGGCAAGCTGCCTCCATTCCCTCACTTGCACAATGGAGCTAATAATAACACCTCCAACCTAAGACTGAGAATCAAGTGAAATCCTAAAACAATATGCTTGTACATTTCAATACCTAGTTAGATTATTAAAATGACACTCATGAGTCTCTGGTCAGGCTTATCTTTCAGCCACCTCCAAACTGGAAGTCACTGTTATTTTTAGTGTTTGGACCTGAAGCTTGGGCAAGGGAGAGTCCAGGGCTGGGAGCTGGAGGCCTGAATCTCAGGCCAGTAGCCACCCTCTTCTGTGTCAAGTTTCTGTATCTAGTGAGCCCACACTAGGCAGATGGATGAGGCAGTGGCCCCTCCTCATCCAGTTCATTGGGGGTGGGCTCTCTTCTAGGCCCGGGCTACTATCTGAAGCAAGCCTTAGGGAAACCCTGTGATCTCCAGCTCTTGGGCCTAGATGGCCTCTCAGAATCATTGGGACCAATCCCTCCCTACAGCCTCTCTAGGGACCCTAGCCCTTGTGATGTGACTGGCTCCAGAGTAGTCATTTTGGGTTTTTTTTTTTGGTGGCTGGCCGGTAAGGGGAACTGAACCCATGATCTTGGGGTTATAAAGCTGTGCTCTAACCAACTGTGCTAACCGGCTAGCCTCTTTTTTTCTTTGTTGTTGTTGTTTTTTCCAGAGTAGTCATTTTGGGAAGAACCCCAGGAATGAGCAGAATGGGAGAAATGGGGGCTGACTCGTTAGCTCAGTTGGTTATAGAGTGTGGTGCTGATAGCACCAAGGTCCAGGGTTTGATCCTTGTACCAACCACCCACCAGGGGGGAAAAAAAAAAGGAGAATTGAGGACTTGATCTCCAGGGCAAACTAGAGTCTAGGCCCTCTCCAGCTGAAGCCATATGTACATCAGAACCAGGAAGCCAGCATGCTTTATAGTTATTAGTCCCCCTGCTGAGTCTGGTACTCTCCCCACCTCTCACCAAGGTGGAGGGGCACAAAGCACCTGTCTAACAACCCTACTGCCCCCAAGTGTTGGGTGGCAGGTGGTGAGGAAAACCTGATGTCTGGGAAGGAGAGCTCGTGGGCTCCCTCTGCTGGCCAGAGGGCATTCTTGGGGCGTTGAGCTGGCCCACTGGCCAGAGACATTGCTATGGGCACCTGGGAAGGACTTGCAGAGAAGTTTTCGGGGTGGGCAGGTGAGATCTAGTAAACCCAGTACAAGACACTGTGTGCTTATACAAAGTATCCTTCCAGGAGCACAGTGGCCCGCCCCAGCCATGGGATAAGTTTTTAATGTGAGGCAAAGTCAGTCCACAATACAAAAATCTAAAAATCACATCCACTTTCCCCACCTGGCTCCTGGGGAGGGGGATGCTGGGGGCTTCCTTTGCCTGCAGGGGATGGGGAAGAGCACAGGAGGGCCAGAGAAGGGGGAAAGGGAAACCAAGGCCACAGAGGTCTGGCTGGGGGGGTCCTGCTACCCAATCCCCTGTCCTGGAGCTGCCCTTGGCCTCCTGCACCCTCTGCCTGTGCATGCCTATGGCAGTCCATCCCCCACCTGTCTGGTCTGGCCTCAGAGGGTCAGGCACCAGCCGCATCATTTCTCCTTCTTCTCCAGCCCCTCCGATGCTGATGCCTCTTTGGATTCTGTCACTGCCGCTGGATCCTTAGGATTTGACTCCTCATAACTGACCAAAAAATAAGACAATAAGAACACATTAGAGGAAGGAGACAACAGAATTTTTGTTGTTTCCCCATCTTCCTGCATCCCGATCCCAGGAAAACCCCTGGGCACATGAGGAGCATCGGCCCTGCATCCACTGCCCAGCATCTTCTGGTATATGCCCAGCCCCACTGTGTGCACTCCTCAGACAGGCTGTTGTACTTTATCTGTGCCCAGTGGTGCCAAGCAGCAGCAAGGGCAGTGGCAAATGGATGAGAGGCTGAGCCTGGGCCTGTGTGGACCGAACTGAAGCTTCTTGAATGGCTTGCTGAAGAGTAGGAAAAGGGGCAGCCAGGATGAGGCCAGGGGAACTGGACTGCCTCCCAGGGCACACGGCAGGAGCCAACCAGCTCAGCCCCGGGAGGGTGTGGGGGGGCACTGCTCTACTGGCAAGTGGCCCAGAGCTGCTCTTGAAGGCAGACACCCTGGCTTAGCTCTTACTATGGGCGTCAGTTATTGAGCAAGTGAGTTCATGCCAAGGACAATACACACATTTCCTCACCAGATCAACCCCATGAGGCAGGAATGTGCCCACTTACAGATGAAGAAAGGCTCCAAGAGGAAAGTGACTTGCCCAGTGTTATTTATATATATTTATATATGTATATATATATATATATATATATATATATGTATGGTAAGTAGCAACAGTATCTACTACTGATGACCAGGGCCACTTATATCCACTCTCTCAGGTGAGCCCCATGTTACTGGTGAGGACACTGAAGTTCATGGTTGCCCTGCTGCCCAGCCCTGTGGCTGGGTACAGCGACTGCCTGGTGGTCGTGGAGGAGCTGCCTCCTGCCACCCACCCCTGGCAATGCTCCCTGCTCTGTGCACTGCAGCTGGAGTGTCTGCCCTACCTTGGGCCCCGGGACAGTGGGAGGGAGCGGGCAGGTGGGCACCCGCTGGGCATTACATGGCGCTGGGATTCTGCGGGCGCCGGCGGCGAGGGCCAGCTAGCTTCTGCTGCATGGAGTCGGCCAGGCTGGCAGGGGAGCCCGAGACTGTGGGGAAGTGGGTGAGCCTTGGGGTATGAGGCAGGATTTCCGCCGAGGACTCGTAGCTGTGTGAGAGACAGAGACAGAGAGACAGAAAAAAGAAATGGAGGGGGAAAGCCTAAGGGAGGATAGAGACTTCCTTTCCAAGGAGCAGGGAGCAGAACTGTCTTATTTTTAATTTACCTTTGCACTTCCAGACTTTGTGGAGAAAAGCCGGTATTAAGAGGAGAATACAAAAGAAAAGGTGTACCTACATAAAGGCATACTATGCAGCTGGACAAAAGAGCAAGGATGCTCTAGATCTGTACGTGCTGCTGTGGACATATCTCAAGGATACACTGTTCTGTGAAAAAATCAAGACACAAAAGTCCCCGAGACTGCCACCGTCCACACACAAGCACGTATATGCACATTTGCTTTTCGGCAGTGTCTCTGAACGTCCGTGTAACAGAGCTGGCCTCTGTGGGTGGCTGGGGCTGAGGGTGTTCTCCTTCCCACAGCTAACGGAATTTTGAACAATGTGAATGTGTTACCTATCTAAAAATAAATAAATGAATACAAAAAGGGGAATGCCATCAAAAGGGAAAAGTAAAACAGAAGCTAAGGTGGAGAATCAGGGCAGAGAGATGGACAGAAAGAGGAGAGACCACCTGCTTTTTCACCTCAGCCTAAGAACCTCCTGTGTGGGAGTGGAGGTGGGGCTGGAGGGCAGAAAGGTGGGGCAGGGTTCCGGAATGGCAGAACATTTAGGGAAACCAAGCGGGGGTAGCAGGGAGCACCTTCTGCCCTGGCTGGGGTTTTCAGAGCTTCACCTGCTAAGGACACAACAGGACCAGACTGGGAGCTTACCCCAAGGGGTGGGGGCAGGGGGTTGTGAGGCTGGATGAGAGTCAGAGGAAGGGTGGAGGGTAGGTGCTGAGCTTAGGGCTCAGGTGCCATGCCTGTTCCAAAAGCTCTCCCAGATCTGTTCTCAAGTTCACCCCCCCTCCACCCCACTTCCTCAGAGACCACAGGGCTTTGCCAGGCCAGGAGGTATAGGCAGGCAGCAGGCTGGGATCTGGGGATTCTAGGCAGGTATGGGGGAGGGGTGAGTCACAGGCTCCCCTGCGGGTAGCCAGGTGCACAGGAGGCCCTGGCTTGCTTGAGGGACAACTTGGAGGCTAGGCAGGTGGAGCTGGAAGGCCCCTGAGTGGGCAGCTTTAATCGCAGCTGGCAGCTATTTCTAGGTCCCTGGCAGGCGGGGTCGGTTGTGCTAGGGAGCAGACACCTGTTGGAGTCACGCAGGCCTTGGGGTATGGGGGGGCTGTGCACAGGGTGTGGCAGGGGTAAATACGGCCGTGGGGAAGCGGTATGTGTTCAAGTGAGACACAAACTGAGATGGAGAGAAAGCAACGTGCCATGAGTTACAGCCAGAGGCAGCTGAACAGGGACTGACACATGACATATACGCAAGGACCCTTTTTGTCACACTAGGGTATCCCACATTCCCAGTTCTATTACTCACATGTGGAAACTGAGGCGGGGGGTGGGGGGTAGACATGCCTGAAGTCACCTGGTGGCAAAGGTAGGCTGGGAATTCAGAGCTCCTGAGAGTGGGGCAGTCCAGAGAAGAATCCACACCCACCATTTCCTTCTTAGACCCAGTTGGCATTTGGGTGAGGAACCTTCCCCTGGGCTGCCCCCAGGCCTTACCCTCCCCTGGTTCCTGGCCCAGGGAAAGGTTCCCACTGGTGCCTACGGGCCAGGCACCCATGTGCTAGCAGAAAGGGCAAGCTGGTGGCTTGAGATGTGTACAAACACTCCTGACAGGCTCCACCAGCTGTCTGCAGGTGCATCTGTGCCCCTGAGACTGTCTGCCTTACCTGAACATCTCTGTCACTTCTCCCTTGGCCAGTGCCACCAGGACAGGAAAGCCAATGCAGGCGGGGACCAGGTACAGGAGGGCAGGCTGTGAGAGGACACAGGCTGGTGAGGCAATGCTGGGTAGAGTGCCCGCTCAGCGCCACGCCTAACACCCCAACCCTGTCCTGGGAATGACTGAGGGACAGCTACTGGCTCAGGTTCACAGAGCAAGTGAGTGGCTGAGCCTGAACCCGGGGCTACTGACTCCCAGACCAGGCCTGCTCCTGCCTGGGAGGGAATGCAAGAAATGCAGAGAAACCCAAGTATGCAGGGATTCAAGGGTTCCAGCACTTGAATCACCTGGGACGCCAGGTTCAAAATACAACCACCTGAGTTGGTCCTCTTCCCAGAGACTCTGCTTCCCTAGGTCTGGGGCTGGAAGTTTGCATTTTAGCAAATGCCCCAGCAGATGCTGTTATAATGACAATGATGACATAACTGCTGTACATGCAGCACTTGCTGCAGCCTGCTTTAAGGTGTCTTAGCTGGTCACTGGTTCCACCAGGATTCACACCCAAGTGATCTGGCCCCCAGTGTCTATGCTGAGACTACTGGCAAAGCTGGGTTTGGAGAAAAGGAGAATTATACTAAGAGCCCCTGTTCATGGAGCACCCACTGCAGGCACTGAGCTCAGCCCTCCCAGGAGTACTTCTGCCCATCTCCACATCCCTTGTGACGGTCCTTTTGTAGAGGAGGAAGGCTGATACTTTAGGAGGAAGGGAATAGCCCAGGCTTCTGAGGTCTGAATGTTAAACTGAGGATTGAACCCCGGGATGCTAGACTCTAAGGCCATTCTTTTCTTTGCAGCATCTGAAAAGTGGATATCACTCCAATGTTCAACCCTCTCCAAAACCCCAATGCTTTCAGTGGCCTGAAGGCCTTATGAGATGTGACTCCCACTTCCTTCTCCAACCTCACCTGACCTGCCCTACTCTGGCCACCCCAGCCTCTTTGTCACCTCCAGCCATAGGACTTTTCCACGTGCAGTTTCTGCTGCCTGCGATGCTCCCCTCAACTCTGAAAATCCTCCTCCTCCAGACCTCAGCTCAGATGTTACTTCTGTCAGGAAGTAGCAGGCCAGGTTCCTTTGTTGCACGCACTCAGAATCCCCTCTAATTCTCCCTCACAGCATTCCCCAGCAGTTTGTATGGGACATCCTTGTGCCACTGTAGACTGGTCTCCCTCCCCTGCTAGGCTGTGAATTCAATGAGTGCAGGGTCCACAGCGGTCTTGTTCACTGCTGTATGTCTGGCACTCAGAAGAGGGCCTGGTAAATACTAAGTGAATGGCTCTTTAACGAGTGCTCACAAAGTTAAGAGGGTGTCTGGGAGATGAATGGAGTGGGGGTGAGGAGACATCATTCTTAACGCAAAGCCAGCCCATGGCCAGAGAACAAAAGAATCCTCCCTCCACTCCCCCGAACCCGACCTTCAGACCATTTCTTGGCATCTGCTACGAGTTGGCTGTGAACCACATCACTTTATATATATTATCCTTGACTCTAATAGTACCTAAGTATTAGGATCTGAGTTTTATAAGGATGTTACTGAGGTTCAGAGAAGGGAAATGATTTGCCCAAGGTCACAAGGATAAGTGGCTAAGCTGGGATTTGAACCTGGGCAACTGTGCTTCTCCAGTAGCATCAGGTCTTTGCTGTGAACTAGGCTTTGAGCCAAAAGTGAAAAAAACACAATGGCAAAGGCCCACACCAAAACCTGTGAGAGGCAGCTTAAGTGGTACTAAGAGGAAAATTTATAACCCTGAATGAATTTATTATAAAACAGGAAAGACTTAAAATAATCTAAGCTTTCAAATAAAAAAGGTAGAAAAAGAACAAACACCCAAAAAGTAGAAACAAAATAATGAAAACAAAAGCAGAAATTAATGAAACAGAAAATGAAACAAACACAAATGTATTAAAATTTAATTTCTAGGGGTTAGCTGGTTAGCTCACTTGGTTAGAGCATGGTGCTGATAACACCAAGGTCAAGGGTTTGGAACCCTGCACCGGCCAGCTGCCAAAAAAAAAAAAAAAATTTTTTTTTGGTGGGGGGGGTTGAAAAAAAAAAAAAAATTTTTTTTTGGTGGGGGGGGTTGAAAAAAAAAAAAAAATTTTTTTTTGGTGGGGGGGGTTGAAAAAAAAAAAAAAATTTTTTTTTGGTGGGGGGGGTTGAAAAAAAAAAAAAAATTTTTTTTAAAAAAAAAAAAAAAAAAAAAAAAAATTTCTGTCTTCTTACTAGTCAGCCACACACAAAAAATTAATTTCTGAAAAGTACATAAAGTATATCTCATACTGATCTTATAGGAGACTGAGGATCACAGCAGGGAGAAGGATCTGTCTAAAACCACAGTTTGTCAGGATTTGGACCCAGCTTCCTCTGTCTCTAAGCCTAGTGCAGCCTCTCCACAAAAGCCAGACTAGGCAAAACATACGGCTTTCAGGGGAAGGTGGGTAGAAATTCAGTACTCTCCCTAGGCCTGCCTCACCTGAGCTGGCAACCACTGAGGGGCTCCTTTGGGAGGGAGCAAGTTTGCTATTATCAGAAGATACAAGCCTGTATTATTTTCTTTTCTGTCATAGCATCAGGGAATGTCTCCAAAGAAAATCAGTGTTAAGGATAAGCTGGAATGTATAGCTTGGGGCTGTGATCTTGAGGTCAGCATTCCTGGCTTTCCATCGGGACTTGGCCTTGCTGTGTGATCACGGCTAAACTACTTCCCTCTCTGGGTTGTCACTTCCCTCTGTAAAATGATGATGTTACACCCAACCGTCTCTAAGGGCTTTCCTAAGGGGGCTGCTAGCTCCCTGGCTTGGAGTGGGTTTCTGATAGAGGGTAAATGAGTTGAAGGCCACATAGGCAGAGGTGACCTCTACCTAGGGCAATAGTGGCAGTTGGGAGTGCCTGTGTCTTAGACAGGGTGGGGTTTCCCTTGTGTCCTATATCCCCTTCCCAGGAAGGATTTCAGGGAGAAACCCACTTGGATGACTGGGGAGAAGGGTTGGGCTGCTGCTGGAAGTAGCACAGGCCTGGTTATCAGGCTGGGTCAGGAGTTTGGAGCCCAAAGTCCAAGGCTCCAGCAGGGTCCCAGCTTGCCTTGCTGTGTGATCTGGGGAAATCTCCTTTTGTCTCAGGGCTGCAGTTTCCCCACAAAGGAGAGGACCACCTTACTTGCCCCTGCTTCCTGCATGCATGAAAACTCTGAATGGGGTCCTCCTTTGAGTCCAGCTGGGCAGAAGGCAAGCCTGCCACCGGGTGGCCACTGGGAGAATGGCTCTGGGCTTGGAATCTTAACATGGGGCTGAGAGCTGGAACACAGACCTTCTCCACTCTATGACCCCCTTGCCAAGTGCATGTCACTCTCAGCTTGCACAGCCTCTGAGGCTGTTTGGAGCAGAAGTGAGTGGCAGGTGGTTTCCCACCAGTTCTTGGTTTCTCCCTCCACCTATGGGTTAGGGGACCTTGGACCTTCTGTAAAATAAGGATAAAAATGGTACTTCCTTCAGAGGAGTGCTGTAAGGATTAAATGAGTTAATGAGCAAAAGGGCTGAACACAGTGCCTGGCACAGAGTGATCAACACACAGCTCTTGTGATTAAATCAAAGGCAGCTCCTCTGTGGCTGGGGCAGGGAGGGGGAGAGGGAATAGAAACAATGACAGCTAATACTAACTGGCCTGGTGCGGTTCTGAGCCCTTCCATTAACTCATTTCATCCTCAAACAACTCCAAGCTGGCTATTAATTATTTCTATTTTTTGTTTTTACTAATCGATGAAAAAAAGCATAACTTGTTAGCAATCTGCCTAGAGTCCCATAGTTAGATGGAGTCTGAATTCACAATGGGGTTCCCTTAGCCTATGTTCTGTACTGCCTTTCCCATGGCCAGGGCTTCAGAGCCTGGCCTTGGTTTTCATGCTGACTCGGTTTGAATCCAGGCTCCACCACATACTTGCTGTGTGGCACCTGAACCCTTTTCCAATACTTGCTGTGTGGCACCTGAACTTGTTTCCTCATCTGTTCATTACAAGGACTCTCATAAGTACAGGGCCTGGCATGTGGGAAGTGCTTAACAAACAGGAGCACTTATTATTTCCAGTGAAGAGTAGGGTAATCCTGTCGGCTCGCTTTCCCTCCCAGTCTTCCCCTCTGCAGGCTACACTGGCAGCTTCCAACCCTTCTGGCTCACTCTGTGGTGGCTCAGCACCTAGTACCCATGATTCATCTGGTAGGTGTGTGCTGGGCTGAAAACACCTAACACCCACCCCACTCCTGCTCTTCTCCGTCTGCCCCACTACTGAGGCTGAGAAGCCAAACCCTTCCTTTCCTAGATTCTCCTGCTGCTGAGGTGGCCATGTGGCACTGATCTGGCCCATGAGATGTGGACAAAACTCTGCTGAGAGGGTTCTAGGAAAGTTTCTGCTTCCTGATGAGTGTAACAGACACGACTGCTATGCTTTTTCCTCCTTCTTCTTGCCACCAATGTGCATACACTGCCTGGAGCAGTGGCAGCCATGTTGCAACCACAAGTGAAATGCCAAGGGAATCACAGACATGACTGTTCTCATACCACTGGGGAGTGCCTATCTCTGGACTGCTTGCATATGTGACAGATAAACTCTCTGTAAGTCCCTGGTGTTTGCAGGGAAGGATTCCTGACACAGTACAGTCCTACTCACCTGGGCATGCTTGAAGATGTGCATGATGAAGATGGTAAGGCCCAGGCCAAAGATGTAGGCTGCAAAGCTGGTGTAGAAGTAGGTGTGGGTGTTCTTCTTCAAGCTTCAGGGAAGGTGTGGGAAGAAAGAGGGTTAGATGTAGGGAATAGAGCAGCAATATCTCTTGCGAGAAGGGAGCTGGGGAAGACTTTGGAAGCTGTGTGTGTGTGCGTGGAGGACTGAGAGCTATGGGCTGGGAGTTTGGAAGTGGGTATGCACTGTGGTACAACCCCCAGCTTTGTGTCTTTGTACAAGTCACTTTCCTTCTCTCAGCCTCAGTTCACTCATCTGCAAAATGCAAAGACCATGAGCCTATCTGCCTGATGGCTGTGAATATAAATGCTTAACTTAGAACAGTGGCTGTAAGACTTTAATAAGCGTAAAAATCATCTGGAAAGCTTATGAAAAAGTGCATACTTCTAGGTCCAGTCCCCAGGAAGTTTGATGTAATAGGTCTGGGCAATGCCAAGGAACCTGCATTTTGAAAAACAACTCAGGTGAATCTAATACAGGTAGATGGTGCTTTCAGAAACATGGATATAAATGGCTGGCTGGTTAGCCCAGTTGGTTAGAGTGTAGTGTTGATAACACCCAGGTCAAGCGTTTGGATCCCCGTACTGGTCAGCCACCAAAAAACCCCCCAGAGAAACACAGATATAGAAACTACAAAGGTAAGTTATTACCTAAGTAGAAGCTGGCTGCATGGATAAAATGCCAGTAGCTTCCCGGAGGTGATTAATCCAGGATCAGCTTCAGAATAGACAAACCACATGCAACCTGGCATTGTCATTACGTGGTTTCCCTTTACAATGCCAGCTCCATAACCTCTGCATGTCCCCAGCACCTGGAACAGTGCCCAGCAAGTACTATGGAATCAATTAACATTTGTGGAATGAATACTTCTGATACCTTTTCCTCCTTGCCCTGGATGCCTTGAGCTGCAAGTGCATTCAGAACTATCCTGTTGTGAGGGTTGGGTTGCGAGTTATTCCCTTTGGGAATGTTGCACAGATTGTGGAATCAGGTTGGGGGTTGGGGGTGGGGTGGGCG